ACGATCCCTACACCAACGACGTCTTGCCTGAATGTGATGATCTCTCAAACAAGGGATCACGCGAGGACGTCGGGCGCGAAGGTGACCCCTATGCAGTCGATTCCGAATAGTCTGGCCACTCACTCTCACACCAGTGTCTGTTTGAAGACGAGCGCTGATCTGATTTGCTGTGATGACACGATTTCTCAAGGCCAAGGTACGGATAAATCGATCCTGGGCTTGAGTTGTCGCCCTTGGTCGACCTGAGCGTGGTCTGTCCTGTACAGATTGTGTATCACGGTATCTGGACCATAGCCTGCTTATGACAGACTGAGAAACATTCATCGTCCGCGCCACAACCGCCTGTGTTGTGCCGATCTGTAGCATGCCAAGGGCACGTTTCCTTTCATTTTGGGTAAGCCGACGCATATCAAAATTTGTTTTCTGGTCACTAAAACAATTAAACTGATGTTTCCACCCTGGAATTCAATGCCACAATGACTGTAACATTCAAAGTCAGAGTCGTGCAAATCTTGGGTTGGACCCCCATGATGATCCCAAGCATTACCTGCATTCCATGCGGTAGCTATTGGTGCGTTTGGGCGGTACATGTAACTGGAAATGTTTCTTCTGTTAGGTTCTATAGTGACTTTTTTCGTAGTCATTTGCATATTTTAGTATTATGCCCCCAAAATCAAATATCCCCTACTTTTTTTGAATAGTATATATTAGAGACAGTGAGTCGTCTGGAGTTTTGAAGTCAAGCATCAATGATAGATATGAAATGGATTGGGAAAGTACCAATAATGCTGTAAGGTACAATATAGTGCAAGAACCGAACATGACATCGTGTAGGGTGGGGGGGTTAAAGTCCTACTGTTCTGCTCCGACTGGGCAAATGAAGACATGGCAATTGAAATGGGGTTTAATGTCCTACTGTTATGCTCCGACTGGATTAATGAAGACAGGGAAAATGAAATAGGGTTTAACGCCCAACTGATCTGCTCCGACTGGGCTAATGACGACGGAGGAAATGAAATGAAATGAAATCGGGTTTAACGTCCTACTGTTCTGCTCCGACTGGGCTAATGAAGACCGTGGTGGTAACAATAATAGAGATAAAATGAGTTTAAAGTCCTTCTTCTTCGCACCGGTTGGGCTAATAAAGAAGGGCGTAAGCTATACGTTATGCTTTTTGGGAAATTGTGCTCGGACAGCGCGGCACTACGAACTACTCTTATATCGAATCTCAACTGTCAAGATTAAGTTTACGTACAGGCTAAGGGTCTCTTCTTGATCGGATTGCAACCGGGAGCTTATCTACAGTTAATTACATGCTATAATTAGGATGACCCATGTACTCACAGAAATACAGTCCACCGCTGATAGTTCGAGACTACCACTGAAACGTGCACATTCGCCGTGCCGAGACCAACTTTCTGACAGTATGATACTATAAATAGCCATGGCACGTGCAATTCTCTACAAATCTATCAACTATTACAGCCGTAAAAAATTTATTGTTGACGATTTTGAATAGCAGTAAAATTAAGCTTCTTGGTTATTACAGCAGATTTAGAAATTACGTTCGTTTCATTTTTTAAATCGCTTTATCATTAACTGTACCGTTAAGAGCGGCATCTTTTGGTTTAGTACAAATAATATCTCTGAATCACTCGGGTTAGACAGGAACATGATACTAGCAATAGTTTCATTTTACTTTTACAAGCTTCTTAAAACGATTGTTGAGTTGTCTAAAGTGCTTATTTCTAAATTCAATTTCTTGTTCTAGCTTTCTGTTATGTTTCGTAAAAAAGTAGTCTTGATTATCCCGACCTGTCAATCAGACGTAGAATGGTCGATAGACTGGTTAAGCGAGACTAATTTCAAAACAAGGGCACGTAACCTATCTTTTACTCAAATGTGTCTGGATGTTATGGACGACTCTTGGAACCAGTTTTCAGTCTATTATTTATACATGATTAATGGTCATAGCTTATTAAGTACAACATGATCGTTTATTTAGTGACTAAAATTGTGTGAAACTGATTTGAGGCTTGGCATATATATAAATATTGTGGCGTAATTGTCGAGATATATGGAGATATTTATTTATGGTGGGTCACCCTACTATAATATCAAAATACCTTTGTTTAAGCCGTGGAAAAATGGATGTTTCCGAAAAATGAAAATAATGCAAAGAGCTTTCTGAGTCCGTCCAGCACTTGATAGTGGTTCCTCTTTAATGGCCGACAAACTCTAAAGCGAACTTGATATTGGTTTCCCCTTTAGTGCCCGACCTACTCTAAAGCGAACTTGATAGTGGTTCCCCTTTAATGGCCGACATACTCTAACGCGAATTTGATAACCTTAAAACAACAACAAGTAGAATGGTCCATGTAACATGTTCTGGTTATCGTCATACAAGCACCTGTAACCGAAGAAAACCGCTTTATCCTTTTCTTCAGCTACGATAATGGCATTTATCTGTTAAGTCTTAGTTTCTCTTTCAGATCTATGCGTCTCGAAGCAAACTTGACAACTTGTAACCATAGTGACGTGTATTATGAAGGTGTCTCGGAATTTACATAAATACGTGCTGTTGTAACGTGTTTCACTAGTTTAAAAGTGCCCTTATTAAATCAAGAACCCAGGCATATTTTAAAGACATATTTGTTGTATGCAGTTGTAATTATAACCATAGCCATCGATTGGCAACATAGCCAAACGACAGAAATGAAATAGGGTTTAACGTCCTACTGTTCTGCTCCGACAGGGTTAATGAAGACGGGTATACGCCATACAGTGTGCTATATGAGAAATTGTTCAGTTTTATTTCAATAAAACGCTAGAGCGTAGGGGTCGTTAGCAGGTCAGGAAACTGAAGGACCCGGAGAAAACCCACGAGTTTGGACAGGCGACCCTACTTCTTGTTAGGTACAACCGAGGAATCGAAACCACGGCAGTTGACTCAATGACAGACCTAATGATACAATGAGCACGCGCTAACCATTCGGTCATCCAAACCCCCACTGATCAAATGTATTATCTGCTAACTTGTATACATGTACATATAGCGTACACAAGATCGGTGTTTCTATTTCCTAAAATATATTTGGAGGACCATCTACCATTATGGAACTATCTTACGCAGCCCGGTTTGAACAGAAAACTACATTAGGAGTCCATTGTGTATACGTGTAACACTATTTTAGTGATAACAGAGATCAGTTTCATACATATAGAGTTTATTTACATCGGAACTGTATATAACACAACTACATAAATACAACAGGAATTAAACTACATCGGGAATATAAACGATAACATTAGCATGGTACATTTAGACAACCATTTCATCCTCCTGCCACGGCAGCGGCTGGACTCAGATGAGTACAAAGTATATAGAGTAGAAAAGTCGACATCATACATTATCAAAAACCAGCTGGGGTCAATTAATTCTAAGCACCTAAATGATCGTTCGATTTGATGAAAGTTATATAGTACTTTGTCACATACGTTCTCTTGTACATAAGAGGGGACAAAATGTGCTGGGGCAAGACCTTTTCCTCCCCCCCTCCTTTTCAAAAGTAGTCATATCTAGATGATTCACTAGCAGATTGCGATAAAGCGAAAACTTTTGTATATACTTAGTTATGTAAGCTTCAAATAAAAAAATTATGCATAATTGCCCATTTCAATTTTGAACATAGATATTCATGGGCCCGACAGACTTTTATGGGCCCGACAGACTCTTATGGGCCCTGGGGCGGCGCACCGACTACACCCCCCCCCCCTCTCGTGAGGCCTGCATAAAAGACTTCCTGGCAGTTGAAATTCGACTAAGAGTAGGCAAAAACGCCAGTGTTTGGGCAAACGCCCCATATTGCACGCATAATCATTGAAATGAAACCATGAAACAATTATATATTGTTCCCTCTTCAGTAGCCAAGTCGGCGTAGAAATGTAAAGCGTTAAACCGGATTTTATATAATTTATATCTTGGTTCCATAATATGAGAAAACCCACGCGCCGAAATGAAATGAAATGAAATGGGTTTAACGTTCTATTGTTTTGCTGCGAACTGGGCTAATGAAGACGGGCATACGCCATACAGTGTGCTATAAAGGAAATTGTGCCCGGACAGCGACACTACGGCCTACTCTTATATCGAATTCCAACTGTCAGGGGACCTTTTACGTACACGCCAATGTGTACACGGGGCCTCGGTTTGTAAGTAACCTGTATTTCATATACTTGTGTTAGGACATATGTACTGGCCACCGCTAAAAAAGAAGCTGTCCTCCATTTTTACAGTGCGAAAGTAGCAGCAAAACCTTCAGATATATAGGACCAAGATAACTAACTGTACGCCTTTTAAAGATGCATTATGTAAGATTTAGATAAAGAGTTGATAGTTCTCGCTATAATAGTTGAAATATAGATAATGTAAAGGGGTGTGTTGAACATTTCAGGCAAAATACTTTATAATAAAGCACAGTAGTCTCGATTGTCAAGATAACTATCAGTACACCATTTAAACATGCTTTATGTAAGATTTTTATAAAGGGTTAATAGTTAACGCTTTAATAGTTCAAAACTAGATAATGTAAAGGGATGTGTTGAACATTAAAGGCAAAATACTTCATTATGAAGCACAGTAGCCTCGATTGATGTTACTACCGTTGTTACGATAGAAACAAAGTTTCGGTTATCCATTTTTTAATTAAATATTTTACCAGGCAGTCGTTTTTAAATCCGTAGAAAATCAACACCATCCGATGCACTAGAGAGTTGATTAGGATCTTAACATGTGAATACATGTCGTAGTAATGATTTAAATAACATTTGAGGCCAAACGAAGGTTGTGCATTGGGTAGCGTGAGCCTTTACCTATGCATCTTGAACAATTATCAATAAAAATCGTAACATGTAGATCAAAATCTTATCTTTTGAAGGCCAAATAACCCATATAAAACTTATCTATTTTCTTAGATATATCATAGCTGCTCAAACATGAATACAGAACTACTTCTAACCTGTGTGTTTCTTACTCTTGTGGTTGGCGATTACCGGCCCAAGCCAACTTATATTCCACATGACGGATATGGAGAATTTACTTTAACAGGTTAATAGACTATTTATTATTTATATCTTAGCTACCGTAACAGAACAAAAACATAATTAGAATTCTTATGTTCGTTCGGTGATTTCATTTTAGTTTAAATAGGGTTGACCACGTGTTTCTGCAATGTATCGGTTTCAAATACCGGAGTAGGTCTAGAAGCACTAGCGTCCGATCTCCAGTTCGACCTTCTCTTGCCTAGTCGTTTGGTTGCAACTGCGATCCATGTACACATTGTCATTCACGTATACGGATACTTAAAGAGACATCAGGTAACATTAGATAAAGAGCTGACAGTTGTCGCAATAATAATAGTTTAAATATAGATAATGAAATGGAAATATGTTTCAAATTTCAAATTACTTCACTTTGAGCCTAGCTATCCACGATACAATTATACACCTGCCCTGACTGTCATTGTTATCGATTATTCATTTCTACATTAACTGCAACAATCGCAAAACGTTTTTAAAATTTACTTAATATTGGAGTCATCGATGATAGATTGTCCAATAACCTTGCAAGTACCAAGTACTTTATACGAGACAGTAAAACAACATACTAGTCCACTTTATTTTATAAAAATCTGAAATATTTATCGAGATTTCAATTTCTGTATTTGTGAACTTTTTGATGGATATAGTAAGCTTCGCCCTTCTCTCTCTTTAAACCCTTCTCTCTCTCTTTAAACCCCCCTCTCATTTTAAACAGGGGTCGGGCTGTCAAATGGTTTAACGCGTTAGCGTTAGTTCATACGGTCTATCATGGACCCTAGTGGTGTGGTTTCCACTCACCGCTTGTATGCTCAAGGACTATGCTCGCCTGTCCAATCTCCAATCTGGGCAAACGTGGGTAATTTGCTTGGACATCTCCGCAACGGGTAACTCATATCGAATTACAACTGTCACGCCGGTGTGTACACGGGGCCTCAGTTTTCAGCCCCTTTGTCCTACACCACTGAAAAGCAGGAACGACGTCTGAAAACTCCCGGGGAACTTCTGTGGCCAACACTGACAGCGAAACCTCCTCGTTAGTCATCTAAAATCTTACTGAGTCAACACGGCTACCTTTCTTTTTAGAAGACTACAAATGCCACTTAAATAGTTCAACAAAGCTTCACCTGCGCGCTGTATCATAAGGTCTGTCATTGAGTCAACTGGCGTGGTTTCGATTCCCCGGTTGTAGGGTCGCCTGTCCAACCTCGGCCCGAAATGACCTGGTTTGTGTCGAGTGGACGTTAAACCCCATATCTCTCCCGCTCTCCCTCTCTCTCGCTCTCCCTCTCTCTCTTTCTCTCAACAAAGCTTGTGTTAGAAATGAAACGAAATGGAATAGTGTTTAACGTCCTCCTGGTCTGCTCCTACTAGGCTAATGAAGACGGGCATACGCCATGCAGTACGCTGTGAGGGAAATTTACCCCGGGCAGCGGCACTATGGCCTAGCTTATGTTAGAAATTCGCATATTAATATATATGTTTACGACAAGGTATATGTATTTATACATAATAATATATTGTGAGAGAGAGAGAAATGGGGTTTAACGTCCACTCGACACAAACCAGGTCATTTCGGGACTAACATATGGTTTAATTTTATTTGAATAATTCGCTTGCGCGTAGGGGTCTTTAGCAGTGGGAGGAAACCGGAGGACCCGGAATAATATATTGTTTTATTTTGATTTAGACGAATCTGGTATAAATAAAGTATGTTTATATTTTCATTTAGATAAACCTGGTATAAATAAAGTATGTTTATCTTTTTTTATTTATTTAGATGAACCTGGAATAAGTAAAGTTACTTTCAGTCATCAGTCGGGATTTAAAGATATCATTTTTACCAATAATGCTGTTAAAGGAGGTAACTAGATTTTGATCTCTAAAAAAAACAGGTTTATCCTCCCATCTGATCGCCTGGACATGCTATATGTTCTACGTAATTACCGATAGGAAACCACACTGACGAATCTTGAGGAACATCTCGGCTAACACCTGGATTGAACCTTTGTCGTCCAGGTTATTGAGTCACAAATTATAATGAAATTCAATGTTTTGTAGTTTGGACTTACATATTATTATTACATATTCTGCTCTAAATGACGATTCTTCACCTCGATATTCACTTGATTTGATATTTGTTTATTTGGTGCAATGTCTATTTTCTGTTTGGTCCGCAGGTTTATCGTGTAGATTTTTGTTTTACGTGTAGTGCGGTCCTCCTGCACTTACTATTAGAGACCTCCTCAACACCAATAAACCTCGCAGAACCCTTCGATCACATTCAGACTCTACCGTGTGTATTAAATAATGTCCTTTATGTCCGTCTTCATTAGCCCAGGTTAGGAGCAGAACAGTAGGACGTTAAACTCCATTTCATTTCATTTCATTTGTGTTTTGTTTATGTCTATTTTTTATGGATTATTTTGTTGTGATTGTTGTAATTTTATATTAGTTGTACTTGTAAAGTAAAGCGCCCAAGAGCAGCTCGCTGTGTTGAATAATTGTCGGCGCTATATAAATTAATTAATTATTATTATTATTATTATTAAAATTTAAAAAAAATAATAATTATTATTAGAGGATACACAGTTGTTCATTCGTTTGTATATTATTACGTTGCAATGTTCTTCTGTTATCATTCTTCACAGCCGATGGTATGTGGAGAGCCCGAATTGATGAACATCAGACATCGACTAGAATAATGTACTGGGCGTCCGTAGTAATGAATGGTGCCACACACACAAATACACCCTATACATGGATTAAAGGTAACTAACATAAACCCACCTTAGCCTATGGAATCATAAAACGTTGTCAGTTAGTAGCTTTTGTAAAAGTTGGGTTACCGAGAGGGTTCATTTGCAATCTTAAGGGTTTTCAGTTAGAATATTATTGTTTAGTAGCTTTTGACAAGGTTCTTTATGGAATCAAGGTACTAAAACGTGGTCAGTTAGTAGCTTTTGTAAATGAGGCGGTTCAATTACAAACTAAAAGGTTTTCTGTTAGATTATTATTCTTCAGTAGCTCTTGACAGGATCCTTTTGTGAGAAGGCGCATTCCTCAAACCGAATGACATTTCGTAATATAGAACAATTCACCTCTAACTATAAGACACGGATGTGTTTAGCTATGATTGATTAAGCATCTGCTAACTCTGCTTTCTGGGTTAATTTAAGATCCACTGCCAAGCCTACCTGGTAGACGAACCAGAGGTGCTGTAATATTTAGAGATGACTTTAATGAAAACCATGTAGACACAAAACACTGGAGAATTGAAGTTTCAGCAACAGGAGACTGGGTAAGATAACATTAGTTCATTTAAACTCCATTTCGTTAAATATATTAAATTTGAATGCCTGTCTTTAGAATAATGGAATCAACCTCAACCTATGTTATAAACATTAACCATTAATTATTATATTTTAGCATAACGAATTCCAGATCTACACACGTATAAAACATTTAACCAACGCATTAATCATTAACCATAATTATTGTATTTTAGCATAACGAATTCCAGATCTACACGAACGACAAAAACAATGTTTATGTTAAGAATGGACATCTTTATCTTAGACCGGTAAAGTATTCCGTTTACTTCAACTTTTCTCGTAGAATTAGCTCAATAAGAATCACGGCTTAAATAAAACAGGTGCTATTAATGATCCAAATTGAATTTAGTGTCCTTCAAAGTATGGAAAATATAAATACGGTTGTTATCAATACTTAAAACTGAATTGAACTGACCGCCTTTCACGTTTGGGAACTGAATGGAATTTGAGAACAGACTTAGTCTGTGTAAAACCAGTCTTCCCGAGCTGCAAAATTACCAGGGTAGTGGCGATTAACACCAGTAATACTGATTATGTACAAATTGGTTCAATTTAACATACGGAAAGTTTAAACCATTGATGTTTCTGTTCCTCGAGATTTGTCCTTGACAATAGGGTCGATTAATACTCAGAATTAGGGTAAACTCGGTATTCCGAGAGTTTATAATGTGACGGGCTAATTAACGCCAGTTACCTGTATATTAGTCTCCTGGCAACCCATAACACCAGTTACCTGTATATTAGTCTCCTTGCAACCCATAACACCAGTTACCTGTACATTAGTCTCCTGGCGACTCATAACACCAGTTACCTGTACATTAGTCTCCTAACGACTCGTACCACCAGGTGCCTGTATAATACCACCAGGTCCCCTGGCGACTCACTCTCAAAATTAAAAGCTACTTTAAAGTTCTGGTATTTTGAAATTTTTGAATATATGAGATTAATACCAATAAAATACAAATGTGACGTTATCATTTGATGTTGGCGTATCATTATAATGGTACGGGCAATGTGTCAAGCGTACATTATTTATACTAGTTGAAATTTTGACCCACGTGGCGTATTTCATTGCAAAGCACGTACGAATGTCTGTATTTTAAGTCGTTTAATGGACTCGAGCTTAAGACATTGCGCCACTCGTATTGTTTCAATATATTACCACACTTAGATTAAATTCAATCAATTTATATTTTGGCCAGGTTATACCATTTAGGTTTTTTTGTAAGTTGTATAAGGTGGTCAGTATTTTATTGCAATCACTAAAAATATTGAGTATGTTGTAACTGCAACTCTTGTTATATATTTGTCAGTTTATCAATTTGATAAAACTTAATTTTAGACTCTTACCGTCGATCATCCAGCCTTCACGGAACAACAGCTACACAATGGTGTTATGGATCTTAAAAGTATGTTACATAGTTGAATTAAATATATTATTCTTCGACGCTACAGACACATCTTGTTGGTGTCGAGAAGAAGCTTCAAACCTTTTTCAAGCTAGGCTCTCAGCACACACACACACGCTGACGGGTAAAAGAATCCTTAGCATTAGAATTCAAAGTGAGGGTGTGAGCAGAGGAGTTTAGCGTCCACTCGACAAAAACTAGGTAATTTCCGGACTTACACGTGGTTCAATTATTTAAATAATAAGGACCTTTAGCAGTATGAGATAACCGGAGGTTGGACAGGTACAAAAGGGGAATTGAAACCACGCCACTTGACTCAATGACGTTTTAAACCAACCCCCCCCCCCCCTCGGAATTTGAAGAAGATGAAAAAGCCACTGCTAAAGTGACTCCTATAGAACGCTTTGGAGATCATTTTCAGTAATTTGACTTTCTGCTGCATTAATTCTAGGTTCTCGCTGTCGTGCGATGCTTTACGACAGGATTGGCGATTTCAATCGTATCACGAATCGTGATAGTGGGAAGCTAGCTTTAGTTACATAATATTTAGCTGAAATTTTCAGTCAAGGTCATTAAGCTATTTCTCCACATTTACACAGTCCTGTTTTTCGGCGACCCATCAAAAACTGGAATTCCCTTTTATTTCCCGCCATTTTGTGAATGTTGCAATATTTTGAATTACATTCTATATATTATTTTGTAAATTTTTTTAAGAGGTGTTTGGAATTTGCACAAATAAGGGTTATAATGGTTGCTATAGAGATGCTAAGAAGATGGGACAACTGCTGCCACCTATTATGTCCGGACGTTTAGAGAGTTTAGTTTCTTATAAATTTGGCGTTTTGGAAATTCGTGCAAAAATGCCTCGAGGTGACTGGCTGTGGCCAGGTAAGCGTTTGTTTTAAGCATTGCCAGGAATCGAAACAAAACGAAATGAAATGAAATGGGGTTTAACGTCCTACTATTCTGCTCCGGCTAGGCTAATGAAGACGGGAATACGCCATACAGTGTGCTATGAGGAAAAATTTGCCCGGACAGCGGCACTATGGCCTACTCTTATATCGAATTCCAACTGCCAAGGGAACGTTTTACGTGCATCCCAATGTATAGACAAGTGGAAACCAGCTGTACGTCGGAAATCCAAATGAACTTTCTCGGCCAATGCAGGGATCGAACACGCGACCTCCAGGCTAGCGAGCCACCAACGTTCCCACTTAGCCAACGTGGCTCCCAGAACTAAATTAGGAGCTAAAGCATATATTACGTACAGCAATATGTATTTGTCTATTCTCTTTGAGTCTGTACATCGGTTAAACATTGTCCAAGAGCTACATCTGCCTATTGCAGGCCTTTCTTTAGGCCTGAAATGTTATCTAAACTATTAATTAGACATTAATTAACTTATCCAGACCATAATCAACTCTCTATGGCTTCGCTAGCCTGCGATGTTTATTGGATTAGGTTCCGATTTGCTGTTCGACTTCCATTCATAATTAAATCATGAAGTGGAAAATCGAGACTATGTTTTTTATCCTACCGACTTTAGTAATGATGATCGAGGCTAGACCGAAAATTCAATCTCTAAAACATCGGTTCATAGTGGATCAATTTGACTGAAATTTTCAGCAAATTACCTTTACATTATCTAGTTTTTAACTTTTATAGTGAGAACTAAGAGCTCTTTATCTAATCTCCCATAATGCATCGGGTAATTCAATTCTATCCAAATTTGTTTAGTCGTCTCCATATTACACTAACTATATATAGGCCTGATTTTGGCATGATCGTGGCACATGAAAACGGATATTTACCATGCAGTGTGCTATGAGGAAACTTTTACATTTTACACGGACAGCTGTTTACCCATGTTTACACGGTTTTACTCCCCAACCCAACTACTAGACGTGGTTCCATCTCAGGCCGTCCTTCATGTACCACTGACAAGGGGAAACCTTGTTGGAAAATCACGAGGAAAATGTCCCGGTTAATAATGGTTAGTGAAGGACGGTTCTCTATCGTTCAGGAACAAAATATACAGAACGTTTCGGGCATTCTCTCCATTTTCGCAGAATCAGTGACAGAAGTAGCATCAACCACCTACAACCGTGAGTTGTTACCATGTATCCTAAAGCTATTAATATTAATCCTCACTTGTGTTTTTAAGCTATGTGGACGTTACCAACTCATAGTTCCTATGGAGGTAGCTCCGTTTCCTGGGCTGAAGTCGATTTAATGGAAGCAACAAGTAATTATTGTTTTGGTTCATGATTATCTTATCAGAGAGAGAGAGAGAGATAGAAAGAGAGAGAGAGAGAGAGAGATGTGGGTGAAGACCCAGAGAAAGTATACTATTCAAAAAAAGTAGGGGATATTTGATTTTTAAGTGTTATTAAAGTCACCTAATGAAACTGACGAAGAAACAAATGACAAAATGAAATGAAGTTCACATTCATCGATTTATTCCAAATGATCGTTAGACTAAGTAAGGCACAGACTGACCATTATAAGGGTAAAATGATACCCGGGGTCAAACAGCAAAGTTACCACAGCATCACAACCAAGTCAGTAACGGGTAAATCCTCCTCTGTTTGCCAAACAAGCATTGATCCGACGTGGCATACTCCTAATGAGACGTCTAAGGTCATTTTGGTCCAGATTGTCCCATTCCTGTTGCAACGCAGCAGCAAGTTCTTGGACATTGGCAGGACGTTGTTGACGTTGACGTAACCTCTGTCCAAGCATGTCCCAGACATGCTCGATGGGGGAGAGGTCGGGACTCAGTGCTGGCCAAGGTAATGTGGTGATGTTCTGTTGTTGGAGGTAACCTGTAACGATCCTGGCCCTGTGACATCTTGCGTTGTCATCCTGGAAGATGAAACGGCGGCCATGACGTCGTGCGAACGGCACAACATGGACTGCCAAGATGTTGTCCCGGTAGTACTGGCCTGTAACACGCCCTGCAACAACATGTAAAGCCGTTCTTCCACCAACAGTGATGCCTCCCCACACCATAACAGAACCACCCCCAAATCGATCATGTCTGATGACGTTAACGTCTTGGAAGCGCTCGTTTCGACGACGCCACACCCTCCTACGTCTGTCCAAAAAATCAACAGTGAACCTTGACTCATCTGAAAACATCACATTGCTCCAGCGTCGATTATCCCAGTGTTGACGATCCCTACACCAACGACGTCTTGCCTGAATGTGATGATCTCTCAAACAAGGGATCACGCGAGGACGTCGGGCGCGAAGGTGACCCCTATGCAGTCGATTCCGAATCGTCTGGCCACTCACTCTCACACCAGTGTCTGTTTGAAGACGAGCGCTGATCTGATTTGCTGTGATGACACGATTTCTCAAGGCCAAGGTACGGATAAATCGATCCTGGGCTTGAGTTGCCGCCCTTGGTCGACCTGAGCGTGGTCTGTCCTGTACAGATTGTGTATCACGGTATCTGGACCATAGCCTGCTTATGACAGACTGAGAAACATTCATCGTCCGCGCCACAACCGCCTGTGTTGTGCCGATCTGTAGCATGCCAAGGGCACGTAACCTTTCATTTTGGGTAAGCCGACGCATATCAAAATTTGTTTTCTGGTCACTAAAACAATTAAACTGATGTTTCCACCCTGGAATTCAATGCCACAATGACTGTAACATTCAAAGTCAGAGTCGTGCAAATCTTGGGTTGGACCCCCATGATGATCCCAAGCATCACCTGCATTCCATGCGGTAGCTATTGGTGCGTTTGGGGGTCACATGTAACTGGAAATGTTTCTTCTGTTAGGTTCTATAGTGACTTTTTTCGTAGTCATTTGCATACTTTAGTATTATGCCCCCAAAATCAAATATCCCCTACTTTTTTTGAATAGTATACAATACTTGAAAAGATCTTTTACTCAGTGTGCTAAGCATTTTGAATAACATTGTATTTACCCATCAATAAGGATTACGCATCACGAATACCTGTACCAATGTTGCCTTGCTGTAAAGGCTACACTGTAATAGGGATGTGCATCAAATCCTGTATGTTCTTTGCATTTAACAAGGGAAAGGGTCGTCTTTCTATATTGTCATATTTAAACAGCAGAACGTAACATTAAAATAATTTATCAGAAGCTGAAAACGAAATGACCCACGAATGAACGTCTTCCACCTTCTTCTACGATACAGGTAACGAATTCTTCAGATGTAAAACTGGATCCCATTGTAAAAATGCCGGTGCGAACAGAATCACATCTAATTTCCATTTCGGACCCCGAGCACAGTCACACCCTTTACCAGCAGAGAGGTATACTTTTAAATATTGTGAATAATCGAACTATATATTTTAGCAAGCACAGGGTTACGTTCTTATAAGGTACCATGTCGAGGATTATTAGCTATTTGTCGAGAGTGGGGTGTTGGATATACCAAATGGTTAGCGCTTGTTAGGGGTGTTGGGTGATCGAATGGTATCATTAGGTCTGTCTTTGAGACGTGGCAATTACTAGGGTCGCCTGTTCAACCTCGTGGGTTTTCTCCGGGTCCTCCGGTTTCCTACCACTGCTAAAGACTCCTACGCGCAAGCAAATTATTGAAATAGAACTGAACCATATGTTAGTCCCGAAATGACCTAGTTTGTGTCGAGTGGACGTTAAACCCTATTTCTCACTATCTCTGTTTGTCGATATTAAATCGAATACAGGCGGGTTTATTAGCTATTTATCGAGATAAGTAGTAACCGAACCTACGACCCATTGAATAAAATGGTTTGTTTTCAAAATTACTGTCTTATACAGGCGAATGGATCAGGGCGATTATCATCAAGATTTCCATACATGGAGATTGGAATGGAACACGGATCATCTGATGTAAGTATTTCGTTTAGCACTTAAAGATACATTATCGGGGGGGGGGGGTAGATAACGAGTTGGTAGTTCTAACTATAATAGTTAAAAACTAGATAATGGAAAGGGAATTTGCTGAAAATTTCAGTCAAATTGATCTACTATGAACCGAGATTTGAGCGATTGAATATTGGGGCTAGCCTCGATCATCATTACTAAAGTCGGTAGGATAAAAAACATAGTCTCGATTATCCATTTTTGATTTAATTATGAATGAAAGTCGAACAGCAAATCGGAACGTAATCCAATAAACATTGAAAGACCCGCAGTAGGCAGATTTAGCTCTTGCATAATGTATGTTTAATTAGCCTTCTAGTGTGAGATACTGACAGGTTTCTATATACTTGGATACTGATCTCCATTGGGCCTGCCCCCACCCCAACCCCGCTTGTCATTTGTGCAGGACAAATGGGTTGGCAAGGGATAATGTTTAGTCGTTCGAATGGGACAATAACCCGAGGCCCTGTCTACACATTATCGTGCAAGTAAAATAACCCTTGGCAGTTACCCTATATGTTGCCCCTTTCCAGGCCCTCTGTCCTGCAACACTGACAGGGGAGGGGGCCACACCGCACATGGCTGTAGCCGCGAGCGACATACAAAACAACCCTAGTCTAGGCCAAAAACGACCATCTCCTTTAGATACGGATACGCGGTAATATGTAAATAATTTTGTAGAATTAAATATTTTAGTATATTCATTTATATTGTTTTACACTTTGTAGTAGATAACCTGGGGCCTGTTTCACGAACTTTTAACTAAGATAAAATCCAAATTTATGTAATTTGATTGGATAATATTAGATTGATTTTAGTTCTTAGCCAATCAAAATTGAAATATCTACTAAAATTTGGATTTTATCTTAGTTAAAATTTCGTGAAACAGGCCCCAGGTACTGAACAGACTTAAGTTAAGAATTTACTCAAAATTGTTCGCCTTATTTTAACTAAACTATAGCTCTTGTTGTTGTTTTAATGTATCCAGGGGCGGATTGGGGCCGGGAACCGGTCCGGGCTCCCGTGTCGGAGCGGCCCCTTTTACTGACCCCAAATATGCGATTTGGTGGAATATCTGATTATAATCTCTGTCAAATAATATATCTCATAAATCGATTAATTTAGGCCAAAACCCCGACCTGCAAGTAATTTACAACCATCAACCTGTGAAATTATCATATCGTCATATTATGCAGGATTCCGAATTCCGGCCCACACCCAGCACACCCCGCCCAGAAAGTCTATTATACCAGCCCAGCCACCGGCCACACACAACATGATCATCATTGCTCCATGGCCGGTCCAATACCCCCCCCCCCCCCGCCCATATAATGTTCAGTAAAAAAAGGTTTTTTTTAGACAAATTGGACACAATTATTTTTTTCATTTGTTGCCCGACCGGCCCGCCCGATGGCCCAATCCGCCCCTGAATGTATCAAATACATCACTGAGATACTATGTACAAAGCTTACTGTTTCTGGATCTAAGATATTTCTCACCAGCAGTGATTGAAAATTGAGTAAATTTTTAACTTAAGTCTGAGAATGCTTTGTGAACTCGGGGCTTGCATACTCTATTCTTAACCCCTCGAAAAAAATATTCTTATCATATATGTTATACATAGATACAATTTTATTCTTTAAAGTTTGTACGTTGATAACCAAGTAATGAACAGACTCGACGTACCTAGTGGTACCACCATCTTTGAAAAATATGGCTTCCATGGACCAAATATATATGCCCATGGTTCAAAGATTGCACCATTCGATGATCCGGTAAGCATAATTAACAATTATAACACCAGTATCTTCATCTTCATCATCCCCATCAGTTGATTATCACAATACCAGTAGCGTCATCTCCACCAGTTGATTTTCGACTAGTATTATTGCCTCTATAATATTATCAGCATCAAAATCTATATCAATTAAAGAAATTTTATGCGAGATTAGATACATAGCTGACCGTTCTTGCTCTTAAAGTTCAAATTATATCGAGAATGTCACACAAATTACTATTGTCAGGCGCAACTGCCAATGGGAAACCATAATTGAATATAGCAAAAAAAAAAAAAAAAGATCTTCTGATTAGCTAGCCAGTGTAATACTCACCGTGTAACCAGTAATATCAGCATCACTACCAACAACAGCAGTAGGAGCAACACAAGCGAAGGCCTGTTTATTTTAGTATATTCATTTTTCACAAGGTTCTACTTTATAATTCCAATGTATTTCTTTTATTTAAGATGTTCTTGATATTGAACAATGCCGTGGGTGGAACTGCTGGTATATTTCCTGATAAAGATTTATATGCTTATCCTAAACCGTGGAGGAATGATGCTAAAGATCCTCTGGGGGAATTCTGGTCAAACAGACAAAACTGGTTGCCAACCTGGAAGGGGGAAGATACAGCTTTGGTTATCGACTATGTGGAATTTAGACATTTGTAATAATACTGTAGAGAATAAACTTAGATCATTAGCTTTTTTTTTGTAAACAATATTTATTCACAGAAACTAGACCGGAGAAAAGACGGAAGCCTATAGACCTCCCCTCTCCGCAACGAGTTTGTGGCTAATATCTATATATTTTTACTGTTGCGGCTCATTTTATATAAACCGAGAATATTGATGGCTTAAAATTAGCTTTTCAATCCCACATAACAATACTGTTTATAGTATTTGCAAAAGTGGGGTGGGTGATATGGGCGAGGGGGTACGTTGCAATTGTTTGCTAGTCCGTCCAGCGGTTCAGAGTGAAGGGCAGGTGTCTTGTTGTGCGGGTGAAACGTGTATATCGAAATACGAGTAGTACAGTTGGTCGTGTAGCCCACTGCATGCATGTTCGCATGATTTAAACCCGTTTGCTGCAGAAACGGTTTCACTGAGATGTGTCGAACTTTTCCGTTGACAATTAGCAGGCCTACTCATGACGTCTTCCAATTGCAAAACATTTGTGCCTAGGACCCCCTGGGCATTTTTTGCGTCGGGAGGCGTCGGAAACAGGTTCCTGTTCGGGGACGTCGCGACCCACATGGAACCATCGGGAGGCCTCGGGGTAACTGCGAACAATTTTAATCCTTGCATCCCCGGAACTTTCCGGGTAAAAAAAAACCCAAAAAACAAAATAAAACAAAGCGTTCAACCCAGCAAGGCTATTGCTATTTTGGAAAATCAAATCAATAGCACCAATGACCGACGAAAGAATGCATCCCATTCCCTTAAACATACATTATGCAAGAGCTAAATCTGCCTATTGCAGGTCTTCCTTTAGGCCTGGAATGTTCTACAAATTAGACATTAATTAACAAAACAAAACCATAATCGACTCTCGATGCCATCGATCGGATACTCAAGATTTTAACTAGATTAAAACGGTTCGCCATTTCAAATTTTAATTTAAATGGGAAAGCGATTATACCAGTGCCCTGGTTACCACTGTGCACCCATCTTGTCAAAACAAAACTACAAACAATGATAACTTGGCTGAGAATGAAGTAATTTGAATTAAATTTTCAATATTTTCTTTTTTTATCATCTATTTTTGAATTATTATAGCAATAATGACCAGCTCTTTATTAAACTCTTAACTAATGTATCTTTAAGTAAAATTTTAAGCGGATTCCCGAATAAAGTGGCATTACATAGGTATAGACTCATTGTCATTTTGAATACGTTGACTGTACAACTGTTTACATGTAATAAAATAAAATGTTAATTTTAATGGCAAATGGCACCTGCTGCGATGATAATGGGGACAGTTTCCTAGGATAGAACCCGTGGTTTCTCTGATACTGATCAGTTATTCGCCCCATCTGAACGACCAGGCTGGAACCGGTATGGAAATGTCACCAAGGTTTTTTTTAGGTCAATGTTGAGATTTAAACCTGTTAAGGAGGGTCTGACACGGACGATTGTCTAGTCCTTCGGATGGGTCAAACAAACGAGGTCCCGTGTATACGTAAAAGATCCCTGGACAGTTGGAATTCGATATAAGAGTAGGCCGTAGTGCCGCTGTCCGGAGACAGATTCCCTCATAGCACACTGTATGGCGTATGCCCGTCTTCATTAGCCCAGTTCGGAGCAGAACAGTAGGACGTTAAACCCCATTTCATTTGTAATGGTCACGGTATTGGCTGGGTATCTTAATATAATAGAAATAACACCGACATATAACTATACAGTTTATTCTATTACAAATGTCTAAATTCAACATAATCTATAACCAACGCTGTATCTTCACCCTTCCAGGTTGGCAACCAGTTATGTCTCTTTGACCAGAATTCACCAATTGGATCGTTGTCATGGTTTCTCCATGGTTTAGGGTAAGCATAAACATCCCAATCAGGAAATATGCCACCAGTTCCACCCACGGCATTGTTTAATATCAGGAACATCTATAACAATAAAAAAATAATAATAATAATAATAATTACTTTATTTAAGAAGGGTTTCGTAGCTGAATAAAGGGTGGAATCTTCAATATATTCATTTTTCATTATAAATTTTCGAACTATTATAACAAGAACGGCCAGCTCTTTATCTAAAGCTTGCATATAGTTTCTTTAATCGATTATATAGATTTAAATCTATTGATTTCTCGTGAACTGATGAAGATGGTGATGATGACGATAATTGTTAATGATGCTTACCGGATCATCAAATGGTGCAATCTTTGAACCATGAGCATATATATCTGGTCCATGGAAGCCATATTTTTTAAAGATGGTGGTACCACTAGGTACGTCTATTCTGTTCATAACTTGATTATCAACGTACAAACTGTAAAGAATAAAATTGTATCTATGTAGAACATATATGATGAAAATATTTTTTTTTCAAGGGGTTAAGTATTAAGCATTCTCCAAAGGCGCAAAGTTGGTTTAATACAGGGTGGATTTATGGTTAACACGAGTAGGGTCGCCTGTCTGATCTCCTTTGTTTTCTCCGGGTCCTCCGGTTTCCTCCCACAGCAAAAGACCCCTAGGCGCAAGCGAATTATTGAAATAAAATTGAACCATGTGTTAGTCCCGAAATTACATAGTTTGTATCGAGTGGACGTTCAGCCCTAAATCGACGATTTTAGTCGAAAATACTAATAGTAAGTGCAGGAGGACCGCACTACACGCAAAACAAAAATCTACAAGATAAACCTGCAGACAAGACAGAAAATAGACATTGCACCAAATAAACAAATATCAAATCAAGTGAATTTGTCAAGTATTTATTCTGCTTTAATTTAATAATACTGAAAAATATTATTTAGTCTTTGTGTGTATGACATATGTGAAACAGATGAGAATTGCATTACAACACAATCTGATTAAAATACAGATCTATATTTCGTTTCGTTTTTTTTATTTTTATACTTTCGATGGTCTACACTACATGAAGATCTGACAAGTTATAGAGATAGGTCACGTCAGGGGTCAAAAGACCGACTTATGACCCTATGACGGCAGACATTTGATTAACCAATCAGCATTGATGTTACTAGTGGATTACCCACAGTTCCGTGAAAAACACGCCTAAAGCTCGCCGTAACAGACCGTTTCATTGGCTTATCCCTGACACCAATCAGAACATGAGTTAAATAACAACTCTTCCAGATCCAAGTGTAGTAAACACAAGTAAAACGAAATTTTGAACTATAAAAACGAAACGTAATGGGATCTGTGTTTTAACCAGATTGATTACAACACAGTAAACCAATTTTTGGATATGACGGGCATTTAAGGCAGAGATCTATTCTTGAATAGAGTAGATGGATATCTGTGTGATGAATGATTATATCGTTAAGTGTTAAAAACAGACATTTATCGATGCGTCAAGTTATGTTGTCAAGTCTATTATAAAGACATGAAACATTTTAGTTTCTTGATTTTAGCTTTTCATCTTTTTTTTTTTTTTTTAAAAATTGAATTGCCCCTTGCTACTCGTGTTTATTATCAAAATAATCTTAGATTTATTTCTAAAATATTGTATTGTAAACTTTTTTTATTGTTGGTATACGCAATTTATAAGTATTCTCAAACAATAGAAAAACGCCTCAGGATGTCTGTTTTGATGTTTGGCTGAAAAATATTAGTCTACCTTTTATAAAATCGTCAATACCTGTTGTATGGTGGGAACATAAACAACTTGACTGGCAATTCTACTTGTAACAAACTATGACTGCTATTGTTTACCCTTTGCTTTGTGTTGTCTGTTTGTTAACCAAAAAGTCTTGGTTATCAGGTCCTCCCCTTTAAAGCTTCGTGGTGGCAACGTCGTGGTGGCAACCCTATAAAGGCAGTCTACACCATCCGACTTTTGTTTGCAAATATCACCAAATAAATTTGGTACGACCTATTTAGTTTTATTTGAAGGTGTTTGACAGGTGACCCTACTCCTGGTCACATACCGGAGGGGAATCAAATGAAATCAAATGGGGTTTAACGCCCTACTGTTCTGCTCCGAACTGGGCTAATGAAGACGGGCATACGCCATACAGTGTGCTATGAGGGATTTTGTCCCCGGACAGCGGCCCTACGGCCTACTATTATATCGAATTCCAACTGTCCAGGGATCTTTTATGTGCACGCCAATGTGTACACGGGACCTCTGTTTTTCGTCCCATACGAACGACTAGACAGCTGTCCTTGTTAGACCTTTCGTCCTGCATCACTGACAAGTGGGAACCACGTCGGAAAATTTGGATGAACCTTCTCGGCCTATGCAGGGATCTTACCCACTTAGCCACCGTGATTCCCAGCGACAGAATCAGTGACAGACCTTACGATCTGACGGACACGCATTTAACCACTCGACCACCCCAAGCACGCGTTTAGTTAGTGAATAGTTTGATAGCCTTGGTCAGAGCTATATCATCATATATTGGGAGCCGCAGTGACTCAGTGAATAAGACGTTGGCTCTGTGTTGGACTAGAATGTTCACCATGACTTTCGGGCGCGATTCCCCTTATCAGTGGTGTAGGAGAGAGAGAGAAATGGGGTTTAACGTCCAGTCGATTCAAACTAGGTCATTTCGGGACTAACACATGGTTTAATTTTTTATTTCAATAATGCGCATGCGCTTAGGGGTCTTTAGCAGTGGGAGGAAACCGGAGGACCCGGAGAAAACCCACGAGGTTGGACAGGCGACCCTACTCCTTGTCACGTACAACCGGGGAATCGAAACCCCGTCTGTCTCAATGGCAGACCGTATGATACAGCGCGCGCGTGCTAAACATTCGGCCAAGGACAACGTATAGTCGTTTGGATGGCAAGAAAAAACACGGTCCCTTTTACACATTGGTGTGCACGTAAAATAACCCTGTATTGACAAAAGGTTTCTCATAGTACATTGCATTGCGTATGCCCGTCTCCATTAGCCCAACCGGGGCAGAACAGTAGTAGGACGTTAAACACCATTTCATTGTATTTCATTTCATTTTAAAGAAGACCAACGA